GATGAGCTTTGTAAAAATCGACGCGTTTCAAAAAGGCGGGGCATAGAGGAGAAACAATAATGTACAGTATGTGGAAAATAATGTGTTTTTTGAACTTTAAACCGCATAAACATTTCATTACACCAAATACACAAAATAATGTTCTTTTTAGCAGCATCATATGACCCCTTTAATAAAAGTTAGATGTTTAATACAGACTATGCAAATTTGCCATTGTACTATTCTATGGCTGATGTGTTTTAATGAATAAGATAATAAACCACAAACTACGATCGTTTTAAGGTAGCTTAAGGGAAAATCCATGTGTGTGTTAAATGAGGGTAAAACATATCCTTATTCATTTTGTTAATAAAAGTTCAAAGATTAATATAGGTGAATTTGTTATTGTACTATTTTATTGTAGACTATACTGTAGACAGTTTTTTTTCATTAATAATAATGAGCCATAAGCATTCGCTTAAAGTAAGGGGAAAATCCAAAAAAGTTTCATGAATTTGTGTTACAACACACGTACATCAGTCTTATTCATTCTGTTCATAAAAGTTTTATGTTTAATATAAGCGACTGTAGTGCACAGTACATTCCAGGGCCCAGTTTATGGCGGGGCCCCTCTCTGACCACAATAGTGGACAAAGGTTTGCTACATTTTGATTGGATCTTGGTGGACTAACATAAGCAAACTGTCCAACGCCATCAGATAAAGATGCCAGGACAACAGCCAGACACCTCTTAAAGAGCTAGAAGAAGACTTTTGGTACAAAGCCCGGGAAGGACAGGACTTCCTATTGGTCAAAATGCAGTTTCTGCCCTTTCGCCAACAACAGACTGATTCCTAAGGCTTTGGACTGTGACCACCATAAAAAGTATATGACAACCTTCTTTCAGATTAATCAAATCGGAGTTATATTAAAAACTGACTTTGATCTTCTAAGCTGTTTAATGGCAGTCAGCGGGTGTTGCAGTTTATCAGTCCAAAAGAAGTGAAATAAAGCGCAAAAAATTGTCTTTGATCTTTCAAGCTGTTTAATGGCAGTCAGCGGGTGTTGCAGTTTATCAGTCCAAAAGAAGTGAAATAAAGCACATCCATCCATAAAATAAATAAATAAATAAAAAGTGTCTCGCACGGCTCCGGGGGGTGAACAAAGGCCTCCTGTAGTGAATCGATGCTTTTTGTAAAAAAAAATATCCATATTGAAAATGTAATCACTTTAATGTAGCTTGCGCTCACAGTTGTAAACGGGAGCAGTTCTGGGCGGATGACGTATGAGGTCAGTGTTGCGCATGCGCCAGTGAGTCTCGTGAAAACCAACGTTTGTTAACAGGAGCAAAGGAAGCAAAGTTTCCTTACTTTAGCAAAGGAAAACCAGTCTCCTCTTGGCTTATATTGAAATCATCAGCGTTTCGCTACAGGAGGCCTTTGTTCACCCCCTGCAGACGTGTAAGGCACTTTTTATTATGGATGGATGTGCTTTATTTCACTTCTTTTGGACTGAAGCACTCAGAAACACAGTAGTACTGAGTCTGAGTCCCGTGAGGGAATAGGCAATGCCAGACACATCCGTTCTGAGTCTCCGGCCTGCAAAGGTGAGACACTAGCAGATAAGACTCATTCTGAGTCTCCCATCCCGAGAGACAGAAACAGCAACGCTCTGAGCCTCTGGCCCATGCGGGAAGAGACAATAACAGATACCAAGTCCTGAGTCTCCAGCTTGTGAAGCAGCAACAGATACGACCACGTTCTGAGCCTCCAGCCTGTGAGGAGAGAGATATTCTACGTTTAGAGTCTTCTTCCAGCGAGACAACAACAGATGCAGCCTCCATCCTAGAGAGACAAAGTGAATCAACCAAGTTCTGAGTCTCTAGCCCAGAGAGGCAGAAGACACACAGACATCTGCAACAAGGTTAAGCTCCGGCGAGCAAACCTTCACTTCAAGGTACCTTTGCTTGCGTGTTCCAGGCAAGGACCTTCTGCACCTACTCCAGGGCCACATCTGCGTGTTCCAGATTTTAGGACCCTTTAGTGCTCCAGGAGATCAGCAAACTCCTGCGCTTCGTGTTCAAGGCTGTCGAAACAGATTCCTGCTCCTTTCCCCACTGCATTGTTACCAGCACAACCAGTGGATGAAGTCACCGCCACCGGACTGCTCGCTCGACCACAGAGAACGGAAATATCACTTATCCAAACCTCTTCCAGAGACCTTGGCATTGTTGTATTATTATCAGTATATGACTTTTCTAATTTACATTAGATATCATATAGCTGACACTGACAGTTGATAACAAATCTTTCCCGTATTTGTTTGATGCATAATAAGGTTCTTCACCTTATTTCTTTCATAGTAGCAACAGTTTATCTTTCCAGATAATGTAGCTCTGACATAGCAACACCCAACATAATCACTTGCATTTTATGCAACTTATGCACTTTATTCCTTTTTCGTTTATGGTATTCCTTTAGCAGCTGTTGATTACTCTTGTCTATCTTTTGTTAATAAAATCTATTGTATTACACTTGTGTTTTCCTTCTGTTGATGATACAGAAAGAGGTTCTACAAGTTAGAGATCCCACCAATCTTTCTTATGTGATGTACTCATAACCACACCTTAAGTGACATGAGATCCAAATATCATAACGTCATTGGTGATGCGAGTACCCATCACTACACTATTTCGCCTCCCTAGGTTGGCGAAAGCAAAATTCACTACATATATATCAGCAATATCTATGCACATGTATTTAACATTAATTTTGCAGTATACTCTCATGACTTTACTGGAGACATACCATAGAGGTTGGTTGCTCTTTGCCTGGCAGTTTTTCTTAAATGGAGACAGCTGTTGGCTCTTACATAGACACTGTTAATGTCAGGATCCTGCCATGACAGTCTTGTCTGTCCTGTCTTTGTTTAATGTGTCTTTGTTTATTTTGTGCCTGAGCACACGGCTGTGTCTTTGTTTGTGTTGGCCATGTGCTCCTCTTGTCCTGCCTTCTAGTTTTCAATCACCAAAATATTATCAGTATATGATTTTCTAATTTACATTAGATATTATATAGCTGATTGCAGTTGATAACAAATAATCTTTCCCGTATTTGTTTGATGCATAATAAGGTTCTTCACCTTATTTCTTTCATAGTAGCAACAGTTTATCTTTCCAGATAATGTAGCTCTGACATAGCAATACCTAACATAATCACTTGCATTTTATGCATCTTATGCACTTTATTTATTTTTCATTCATGGTATTCATTTAGTAGTTGTTGATTACTCTTGTCTATCTTTTGTTAATAAAATCTATTTTATTACATGTGTGTCTTCCTTATGTTGATGATACAGAAAGAGGTTATACAAGTTAGAGATCCCACCAATCTTTCTTATGTGATGTACTCATAACCACACCTTAAGTGACATGAGATCCAAATATCATAACGTCATTGGTGATGCGAGTACCCATCACTACACTATTTCGCCTCCCTAG